CCCCCAAACAAAACAAACAACAAAAAACAAAACCATTTTTCCTACCGTCTGAACAGTTCCATCTCGGATCATCACGGTCAAGCCTAACGAGTGGAGTACTTCCTTACTGGACTGTATGCTGGACCCCAACATTTGTGAGTTGTATTCGTTCGTCTGTTTGTCTGTTTGTTTGGTTAGTCGTTTATTTGGTAGTTGAGTAGATTGGTTGGTTAGTTAGTTATATGACTGTTTGTGAGTTAAACCTTCACCATTTCACCATTGTCAACTTTCTCTGTACTTCACTGCTCGACTCTACGAGTATGATGGACATGAACATTATTTGTGAGTTTTGTTTCTTTATTTTGGTAGTTCTAGATTGGTTGGTTGATTAGATCTAGTTATGAGACTACTGTTTGTGAATCACACCTACCATTAGCTTGCCCGTGAAGCGTACCACAAAAGAATATCAGGGTACGAAGCAAGAGGAAGACCAAGGAAGACCTGGATCGAGGGTGTGAAGGATACCCTGAAGACTCGCAACATCCCATTCCGCCCGGCCATCCAGCTGGCTTTTCTCCCCTCGACGCCCTAGATGGTACAAAAAGTAAAGTAAAGTCAAGTCAAGTCAAGTCAAGTCAAGTAAACTACCGCAAACTAAAGTAAAGTACCGTAAAGTAAAGTAAAGTAAAGCAAAGTAAAGCAAAGTAAAGCAAAGTAAAGCAAAGTAAATTACCGTGAAGTAAAGTAAAGTAAAGTAAAGTAAAGTAAAGTAAAGTAAAGTAAAGTAAAGTACCGTAAAGTGAAGTAAAGTAAAGTAAACTAAAGTAAAGTAAAGTAAAGTAAAGTAAAGTAAAGTAAAGTAAAGTGAAGTAAAGTAAAGTAAACTAAAGTAAAGTAAAGTAAAGTAAAGTAAAGTAAAGTACCGTAAAGTGAAGTAAAGTAAAGTAAAGTAAAGTAAAGTAAAGTAAAGTACCGTAAAGTGAAGTAAAGTAAAGTAAACTAAAGTAAAGTAAAGTAAAGTAAAGTAAAGTA